CCCAAACCATCCCGTGATTCTATGGAAGGAATCCTCCTTTCTGCGTGTCAGCCCTGCTAACCTGATTCCTCTTCACGGCAAGTAGTGGGTAAAAGAAGCGTTTGGAGAAGCGCAGTGCCCCGCCTGGGCTGTCTGTAGGCTCGGGGAGAGACAGCGCAAGGACTAGCCCGCAGCAGCGGTGTTGGGCTGCGCTGGTTTGTGTTGGGGCAGGCAAAGGCATTGGGCTGACTTCTCCGAGCCGAAAGATGCGGTGGCTTCCAATTTCAGCTCCAAAGTGACAAAATTAGGTGATGGAGTCAGAGTTGGCAGATGCTGGGTTTCTGCAAAGATAATGTGGTAAGAATCGCGTTACTGAGCTGGTTCAGTTGCGATGAGGCTCCTTCCCGTGTCCGAGGCGTAGTTGGAACAGCCCTTGTCATTCGGAAGTCCCGCACGTGGGAAGAAGTTCAGCCAGCGGGGTGTGTTGGGGTGTGTAAGAGTGTTCTGCAGGCTCAGCACCTTGCCGGCCCCACAGGCTGCTGCCAGCTCACGAGGAACGGAGTTCCCAGGAAGTCTGAGGAGTAAAGTAGGAGGAAAACTTCATGTTCAAGGAGCACGGGAGTTCCAGGGCCAGTGTGCACAGTGTGGTCTTCATAGTTCTTCTCTGCAGTGGCCAAAGTAGTAATGAGTAGGCCGCCAGTGATTGATTAAGGACCCGTTATGTCCGGGCTTGCTCGGTGCAGAGTAAAGAATACCCTCAGGAAAGCATTCCTGTCGCCGGGCTGACATTCGGGATGCCGCTTTCGGTAATTAACGTTCGTTCAGTCTTGTACAAATTCCTTGGAATTCAAGACCAGTTTTAGTACAAATTTCCACATGAATTTTTAGCAATAGAGGTGTTTCTGAAGGCTGTATCAAATAGTTGCAAGGTTCAGTTCGCACGCAACCAGCCAGTGAAGTTGCACCGACCGTACGTTGGCGCGTAGTTACCGATCCCCGTGCGCCCCAGAACCGTTGCGGAGCTCGTGCCCGAGAGGCAGCGTACCAGACGTCAGAGCTGCTCTCAGCCCCCTGTTTAAGGGAATGGCCGTTAGCCCCAGACTGTGCAGAAACGGAGGTTGGTGGTCCTGGCTGCTCGGGAGTAGCCCCGAGAGGGCGATGCCCTTCCTGGCTGCCGCGTTCCACGTGTCTCTGGAGACTTTGGCTTGTTCAGGGCTGTCTGGCTCGTGACCGTGTTCACTCAGTCAGCTTCTCTGGGGAGCCGGCTGTAATAGCTGAAGAAATGACCCCGTAGCTGCACGTAACCTCCCATTAGCTGGAGGCCACGGCCGCCTTTCCTGAAACGCCGAAGCGTCGTGCAAAATCCGGGTTGGTCCCTGTCCCGTTTAACCTGTACCACAGGGCAGTTGGCACAGCTCGCCCGGACGGCGTGGCTGAGCGTGGGGAAGGGCAGGGCAGGGCGGGGCGCG